GTCCATTTGGGTTGCATGGCACCATGCATTTGGAAAGACTAAATGAGAGAAATAACACTTGTGGTTTGTTAATATATTATAAGTTCTAATATATTAATAGTATTATTTAATTAGTATTGATCAAGAATTAATTTGGAATTAATTATGTGATCAAAAGATAACTAATTAAATATATGGGTTGATTATGTAAATCATCCATAACTTGTATAGTGGGCTAAAAGGCTCCATGGATTAACAAGTTAGGTAAAACCCATTGGATGCTCCATGGGAGTTACAAACCCATGGGTCATGGAAATGAAGAGTCATGACACATTAAGGTTTACATGGTGTAACCCTTGATGTGTCAACACTATATAAGTAACACTTTCTCCACCAAAATCGGCTACACAAAGAGAAGTGAGGGCTAGGTCGATTTTTAGAGTGTTTGTATTCTCTCAAAAGTCATTCCAAAAGCATTTGGTGTTGTGTGAAGCATTTGAGGCATCACACTTGGGGTGCTAGGCTCTCAAGGTTTCAAGGAATCAAAATCAACTACAAGGTATGTATTTCTAGCTATCCTTTTAGGATTAAAGTTCCCCATGTATGCTAGATAGGATTATGAACCTTGGAAACCAAATTTTGCATGTATTTAGACAAACATAGATCCAAGGTTATTAGGGTTGCATGTACACTTAGGAAGTGTTAAAATGCTCAAAACCCATCAACATGTTCCTTAGGTGATATGACACCAACAGAAATCCGGGAGTTGATCGAGAAACTGGCGAAATAATCAAAAAATTTTGGTAATAAAGATGAGTGGTATCCGGATTAGCCAAGGGGAGTCAAGGAAGTCAGCAATGCTCATCTGGAGTCTTTGATTTCTGAACTGACAAAGGTTGTTCTAATCTTGATGAAAGAAAAAGTAGTTGCGAAGAAGCAGTGTGGGATTTACTTTAAGACTGAACACCCCACTAACATGTGCCCGTTATTGGAAGAAGATATTGCTATGGTAAAATCTGTTGGAGGGTATCAACATAAAATTTTTATTAGCAAAATAATCAAAGCTGGAATGACAATTTTAGCAAAAACAACAATATTAGATGCCACCTGGATTCCATCAGCATTGAAATTATCAGCAACTAGGCTTTCAGCAGAACTTTAAGCAGCAAACTTATTAAAATCCAAAATTTTCATAACCGGTCTTCAAATCAGCAACCTAGTAGTTCCAGTGTGGCCTTAGAAGATATAGTAAAGAGTCTTTCCATGACCACCCAAGCATTCCAACCAGAAACTAAAGCCAATATCAAGAATCTGGAACAACAGGTGTCTCAACTTGCCACTTCTGTGGGTCGTCTGTAATCTCAAGGAAAGTTACCGGGCCACACTCAAGATAATCCAAAACACAATGTGAGTGTTATTTCCTTAAGAGGTGGAAAAAGTTATGGAGACCCAGGCGCATCTGAACCAGAAAAAGAAGTTGAGGAAGAGTTTGAAGAAGTTACGGTTGAAGAAGAAGATGTAAAAGAGTCAGAAAAAGAAAAGGAGGAATATGAAGAGGTTTTGGTTGAAGAAGAAGCTAATGAAGATAAAGAAAAAGAAATTCCATAACCTGCGAAGCCAAATCTGAAGGAGTACAAGCCCCTACCTCAATTTCCATCAAGATTGAAAAATACGAAGTGCGAAAGAGATGATGAAGATATTATGGAATTTTTTTGTAAGGTTAACGTAAATATCCCACTTTTAGATGTTATCAAACACATCCCTCAATATGCCAACTTTCTGAAAGATTTATGTGTTTCAAAGAAAAAATGGAATTTAATGAAATTATCAAAGCCGGTGAAAATATTTCTTTTATTTTGCAAAAGGGTTTACCTCAAAAGTGCAAGGATCCGAGAATTTTTTTAGTTCCTAGTAAATTGGGGAACCTTACTTTTTCAAACGCCATGCTTGACCTTGGTGCATCGGTCAATGTCCTTCCTTTTTGCAGTTTTTGAAAAATTAAAATTGAGAACTTTACGAAAGACAGGGACACTCATTCATTTGGTAGATCACTCGATAGTACACCCCAAAGGTGTATTGGAGGATGTTCTCGTCCAACTGGGTGGGTTTATTTTTCCTGTTGATTTTTATATTTTGGACATGCATGATTTAGATGTATCAGATACAAACTTTATCATTTTGGGGAAACCATTTATGAAAACTACAAAAAACAAAAATAGATGTTTTTAATGGCACAATTTCAATGGACTTTGATGAGGAAGTGGTTAATTTTAGAATTAATGATGATAATTTTCCTTCTAATAATAATTCTGTTAATTATTTGGGTACCAACAGTCCTTTACGCGAGCCCCTACCAAGTGCATAAACACATCGCTTATGGTGGTATGTCGTACTCATACATGGACAACCCCCTGCGAAGCACAAGCTCCAATTTTAGCCACGAACTGATACACTATCAGATCCAACACACTGCGATGATAACACACATGCCAAAGTACGATGGCACTACAAACCCAAATGACCACATCGATAATTATGAATGGACGACATCTCTCAAGATGAATTGTCACTTCACCTGCACTTATTTCCCCTGCACCCTAACGGGAAATACAGGCAAATGGTTCAAGTCTCTAAGGTCGGGAAGTATATCAAGTTTTGAGCAGCTGAAATACCTTTTCCTCAACAACTTCATGCAGTGGAGGAAAGGAAAAGGGGATGCCAACTCCGTCATGGCGTTCAAGCAAAAGAAGGAAAATCGATCCGTGACTATTACAACCGATTCACGCTAGCTACCTTGAATGTCGCAGGACATGAAGAGTTCCTGGTGACAGGCGCCTTCGCCCAAGGCCTGTTTCATGGACCCCTATTGAGGAAGATGCAAGGAATAGTTCCTATATCCAGGGATGAAATTAAGTTCCGTGTGGAAAAATACCCGCAGCAAACCAAAGGGGAAGAGCTAAAGGAAGCCAACCTCAAAGTTGCAGCTAACGCATACCTCAAGCAGGAGGAAACAGTGTTTCGGCTAAGCTCAACCCATCAAGAGAGGCAAGCTGACAACCAACAGAGGCACAACCACCATTCCAGGCACATGTCATGGAGGTATAGACCATTGAAAAGAGACGATAGCAGGAGTGGTTATAACGATGTTCATACAACTAGTAGGAAACATCATTGGCATAGCAAAATACCTCAGAGTAAAATTTGATGAGGATAAGCACCACCCCAAAAATCAAAAGGATGGGGGAAAGGAGCACGAAAGGAAGGTAGAGATACTTACCATCACCGGTCTCTGCTCATGCAGAAACCACCAAAGCCAGCATGTAGGCACGAAGGTATACCATAAAAACATCATCAACATGGAATTTTCGATGATCGACCGTAGGCCAGAGAACATGGGAGGTCTACGACAACACAAGTGTGTAGAAGCCAGTGATGCCAGAAGGAAGAAAGAAACCCAATTGTGTAGAAGCCAGTGTTTCCAAAAGGTGGAGAATCCACATGGGAGGTCTGCGATAGCACAAGTGTCAGACCAAGAGTCTAGGAAAAGACAAAGAGACGTGTTCAGTCAAATCACCACAACCTCCTTACAGGTAGAAATAGGCGCTGACTTGCGGATGGTTCAACCAAAGTATGGAGCGAAAATCGAGATGCAAAGTAGCACCTATTCGCAGGCAAGGGTACCAGCATGGCTCACAATTGACGACCAAACCATGTCCAACTAGGAAGCAATTAGGAGCTCGAAGCAGACCTGATCCGATGTCGAACATGACTAAAAATCCCGTGGAATGAAAGAAATAAGCGCTTGGAACAACAAAAGTTGAGGCAGAGTGCCACTCATTTTAACAAGTAGGCCTTCCTACAGAAAAGAACAAATAAGGGCCTCTGGTGAACCAGACAACATCCCAAGTGATAGAGTGACATGCAGGATCGACAGGCACGTAAAAAAGCGTAGGCAGTACCCCCACCCAGCTGAGGGGTGGTGCTTCCCATGATCTCAGCACAAGTTGATTCAAGAAGAAAGGAAAATGCATGCACCTAACAAACAGGAAATATGAAATTCCACCCTCTCACGCTGGGCCCCGGTGGTAGAAACAAGAGAAAATCACAAACTGTCAAGAAGCACTAGCAGGAAATGAGGAAAAAGCGCACAACCGCGATGAGGTAGTCATAGCATAACACTCCATGAAAAATAAAGCGGAGGCTGAGAAAAGGGATTATGGTCAAACTCCACACAGGATAACCATACTCTAGGAGCCATTGCAAAAATTGGGCATCCGCCCTAATGGTTAGACATTTAGAGTCTATTATTTCATGTTTTACTTCTTTTGTGTTTCTTAAGAGTTAATATAATTTGCATTTCGAAAGAGCTTTCCAAATTTTTGTTTAACAAATTGCAAAAATGCAAAGCAAAGAGGTTCTGCATATTTTCCAAGTAGCAACAATGGCTGATCACCTACGCTACTTGAGAAAATCTATGCAAGGATGCAACTTTAGCTCTTAAAAGAGTCATAATCTTTACCTATAACATGCCAACAACATCTAAAAGCAAGGAACATATAGTCCAAACTAATGGCACAGAAAAAGGGGTTCTAAATGATTCATAACCTTTCCCCTAACAAAAAACAGTAACAAGCCTCGATGTGACGAACTCAACCAATATGCGGGCAACTAGACCTCAAAATATAGTCAAGCAAATTAACCAATGCATCTTGACTTGACATAAAAAATCCTGATTACAACACCCAAATCAGTGCAATATGATTCAAAAGTAATAGTTATATGATGTTTGAAGCACACATTAACCGATTAATGCGAACCCTAGAACAAGGGAATGTGCGAAAAAGAATCACAGTACAAACATCGAATAACCTTAGCCTAAAGACACCACAAGTCAAATCAAGATATATACATACAAAAGGGGGGAAGAGAACACTTTGATGCCAAATACAAAGCCAAAAGCAAAGTTCATGGTTAGTAACAACCGATGTTGTTCACTATACATATAGTATGTAGAAAGACAACTACATTACAAAACAAACAAAAAGGGACAAACACAAATCATCACTTGGAGTCTGACGAAGAACCTCCTGGACTCGGCCTGCGATAAAAAGGTGGAAGCTGTCATAATCTAGCTTCCCCAAGCGAAAAAGGCCCACGAAATCCGTCTCAACAAGGGACGACAGAGCAGTATCCACCTCTTCGGCCCTTCTCGCGACATGGCCAGGATTCGGGACTTCAAGTTCACTGGAAATTGTGGAGCAACCACCTAGTTGCATCCCCTTTTCAACACCAAGGGCCTTACACGCCTCACGAACACCCTGGACCTCACTGGCAAATTCCGGGCTCTTGATAACTTTATCAGTTACACGAACCACCCCCTCCTCCAACATCTATTGCAAAACACCTCGAGCAACAACACCCATTAACACGAGCACAGGCCAATTACGCATGACCTACCACATGAAGAAGGAAGAGGTCACCTTGAGCAAGCTTCAAGGCTTGTTGAGGACTGCTGAGAGCAATCTTAAGGATAAGTCTGTTGCACCAACTCCCACTCCCCCTGCTGTGCCTATCTTGGCAATAGGTCAAAGGAAGGGCAAGAAGAGGAAGGCTCCCTCAAAGGGCCACCACAAGGGAAAGTCCCAAGATGGTACCTCTTCTAGTGGAACCAAAGTTGGTTTTTCTAAGCCCAAATCCAACCCTAAGGAGGCAGAGTGTCACCACTACCACAAGATAGGGCATTGGAAGAGAAGTTTCCCAGAATATCTGCAAGCCATCAAGGATGGGAAGATTAATCCATGTTTCAGGGGTATTTACACAATTAAATCTAATGATTCATCGCATGCTATTTCTTGGGTTCTTGATATAGGATGTGGTTTTCACATATATTTTCTGATTTGCAGGGACAAAGAAGAAATAGGGATGTGGAGCATGGAAGGATAAATCTAATCATGGGAAACAGAAGATCGTCGCCCGTCACCAAGATTGGAGATTACTCCTTAGTGCTTAGTAATGGATTGGTTTAGATTTAAACAATTGTTTCTATTCACCAGATATTGCAAGAAACATCATTTCATTTCATGGTTTATATAGACAAGGTTTTAGATATTCATTTAATAATGAAAAGGGTTCTATTTATGCTTATCTTAATAATGTTTTATATTTTGAAGCATTTCCTTGTAATGGAATATATAAGATTGTGATGGTTGTAGATAACTTAGGAAATGATGTGTTGTGTGTCAATTCTTCCAATAGTATGGATAAAGCATGCTTGTGGCATTGTCGTCTTGGACATGTCAACAAGAAACGCATAGCCCAACTCTAAAAGGATGGAGTGTTGGAGTCATTCGACCTTAGGGATGATGATGTGTGCGAGTCTTGTTTACTTGGAAAGATGACAAAGTCACCCTTCACTGGCACTTGTGAAAGGGGTGAGGGTTTATTGGATCTCATACACACCAATGTGTGTGGGCCCTTTAGATGCACCATAAAGGATGCGGACCGCTTCTATGTGACTTTCACCGACGATTATAGCAGATATGGGTAAAACTACTTAGTCAAGCACAAGTCAGAAACCTTTGAAAAGTTCAAAGAGTTTAAACAAGAAGTGGAAAATCAATTGGGCAAGAAAATCAAGATGCTTCGATCTGATCAAGTAGGAGAGCACCTAAGTCTTGAATTCCACGACTATCTCAAGGAATGCAAAATAGTTTCGCAATTAACACCACCTAGGACACCACGGTTGTATGGTATAGTTGAGAGGCACAATCGAACCTTGCTAGACATGGTTCGTTCCATGATGAGTCGTGCTTCACTACCTATCTTATTCTGGGGGTATGCCTTAAAGACCAACGCCCATATCCTTAACTTAGTCCTTATGAAGAAGTTCGCCAAAACACCTCATGAGATGTGGATAGGGAAAGCTCTCTCGTTACCACATATCAAGGTTTGGGGTTGTAGGCTTTCGTAAGATGAGAGACTCACGAAAAGCTCGAGCCTCAAAGTGAGCGGTGTATTTTCATCTGCTACCCGCAAAAGTCCTTTGGATATCTCTTCTATAGACCGAGTGACAATGTTGTCTTTGTTGCGAAGAGAGGGGTTTTCCGAGAGAGAGAAATCATAAGCCAAGGGGATAGTGGGAGGCCAATCGATCTTGAAGAGATTCAAGAATTGAGCAATAAAGGAACCTCTAACGTTGAAACTCAACCTGAGGATGAAACTCCGGTTGAACCAATTGACGAGTCCTTACCTATTAGACGTTTCGAAAGAATAAGGGTTCAACCCCAGTTTTATGGTTTTCATATTACTATGGAAGGGGATACGTTCATTAGTGATAATACACTAGTGAATTTGGACGAACCTAACAACTTTAAGCGAGCCATGGCAGGCCTAGAGTCTGCAAAATGGAAAGAGGCAATGGACAACGAGATTCAATCCATGTACGATAACCAAGTTTGGAGCCTAGTTGATCATGTACCGGGTCGTAAGACGGTCGGGTGCAAATGGATCTTCAAGAAGAAGACCAACATGGATGGGAATGTGCACACTTATAAGGCGGGATTGGTTGCGAAGGGCTTTACTCAAACTCCCGGAGTTGACTACGATGAGACCTTCTCACCAGTTGCGAAGATAAAGTCTATTAGGGTGATGCTGGCATTGCTGCATTTCATGATTATGAAATATGGAAAATGGATGTCAAAACCACTTTCCTTAATGGGAAGATGTTTACATGGCTCAGCCAGAGGGTTTTGTTAATGCGAAGCATCCCAATAGAGTGTGTAAGCTTGAGAAGTCCATTTATGGACTTAAGCAAGCATCTCGCAGATGGAATCTTTGTTTTGACGAGAAAGTCAAAGAGTTTAGGTTCTGCGAAGCGAAGATGAATCTTGTGTATATGTCAAAGCCAGTGGGAGTATAGTGAGCTTCCTCATATTGTATATTGATAACATACTACTCATAGGAAACGACATCCCGACACTGCAGGAAGTAAAGTTCTAGTTTGGGAAGTGCTTCGCTATGAAGGACCTCGGAGAAGCTGCCCATATTTTGGAAATAAGGATATTGAGAAATATCAGTAAAAGACTAATAGGATTTAGTCAGAATACTTACTTGGACAAGGTACTAAAACGTTTTAGTATGGAGAATTCCAAGAAAGGGGAGTTACCAATCCAAAGTATTGCCAAGTTGAGTAATACTCAAAGTCCGAGTACCGAAGTCGAGATAACAGAGATGAGCCGAGTACGTTATGCTTTCGTAGTTGGCTCGATCATGTATGCTATGACTTGTACCCGCCCTAATGTGGCCTTCGCTTTGATCATGGTCAGCAGATATCAAGGGAACCCCGACAAACCACATTAGACCGTAGTCAAGAACATTCTTAAGTACCTTCGGAGGACTAAGGAATGGTTCCTAGTCCTCGGTGGGAGTGATGACTTAAAGGTGAAAGGGTACAGTGACGCCAGTTTTCAGACCGACAGGGACAACTACCATTTGCAGTCAGGTTGGGTCCTTACCCTTAATGGAGGAGCAATGACTTGGAAAAGTTCCAAGCAAGAGACCGTAGCTGATTCAACGTGCGAATCAGAGTACATTGCAACAAGCGAAACATCCATGGAGGCAATATGGATGAAGAATTTAATTGGAGACCTTGGTGTTGTGTCAGCCATACAGGAGCCAATGGAAATATTATGTGATAATGAAGGAGAGGTTGCCTTGACCAAGGAACCGAGGGATCATGGTAGATCTCGACATATCGATAGAAAATATCACTTTATTCGACATCGGGTAGAAGGACTCCTCGTAGTGAAGAGGGTATCGTCAGAGTATAACCCAGTAGATCTGCTTACGAAGGGACTGAGTAGGGTTAAGCACCTGCAACACGCTAGGAGTATTAGGCTGAGGGACAATATTAGTTTAGATTAGATAGTTTAGAAACATGTAATAGATAAATGTAATTGACATTTGATGATTAAATAAATGGTATTATATATGAGTAAGGTTACTGTATTGTGTTAATTGTTTACCTATTGTTTCATTTTGCATGTTTTGACTTCCTGAATACTAAGATTATTCGAACAGTCTACAGTCGTTCATATGTTGGAAGTAGGTATGAATGAAGACTGTCATGAATTGGTGTGTAGATTGTCTAAAGTGTGTTATACATAGCAAAAGTTTGCTACAACGTTCATGAGTGCTTATGAACAAGTTTTGAGCATTGGAATAAACCCACGCTTGTTGGAATCACTTCATGGAATTAATCACGAGTGATCGCAAGACGGTAATATCATATGGTCTTAAAACCTAAATATATGGTTTATTGTTGGCTAATTGGTTGTACATTGATAATGCGTAAACGCATTGGTAACTTGATGTTATAAAATGCATTGTTGTGTATGATTTGAATAGTGAATAGTAAATGCATATAAGTCAAAGTTTATTTGTTCCTTTTATCCTAAGAGGCTAAAAGCGATATCTGGGCCCCTCGATGATTTAGTTTGACTTATGTGTCGAGCCCGGTCAGGACTGAATTGATGTGTTCGATTAAGTTCTATGTCAGACAAATATGCGATTGAGAAACAAACTGCTGGACAATAAGTATGAGAATGTTTCATGTGATTATCCGCACAATATCAAGAACAAAGGATTATACGATCCCTTATCTGAAGGATAGGTTGTTGATAAGATCAGAGTTTGACAGCATCTTTGAGAGCTTCGATTGCTAATCGGATTGTATTTACATTTGTAGTTACTAGACTTATCCAAGTGGGAGACTGTTGGATTAGTGTCTAAGCCCGTAACTATATTTGGTAATTACTTGACTTGGTTGTGCATGGTCCTTTTGGGTTGCCTTCACCAAAGCAACATGATAGGATGATTTATGAATAAAGAGGTTATTATGATTTATTAATATGTTATATAAATAATATATATTAAATGAGAAATCATTTAGTTTAATTAATATTGGACAAAAATTAATTAAGAATTAATTATGTGGCTAAAAGAGATTAATTAAATAAAAGGGACTAGAAATGTCAATTGCGTGATAGTTGGTTTGGGCTGAGAATCCTTCTTGATTAAGGGGTGGACGAAATTGTGGGTAGGAACCCATCTAGATTTCGTCCAAGGCCTTATTCTGGAAGGTTCTTTGGACTACTTAAGGCCTAAGCTATCCAATTAGGGTTTTGACTAAAACCCTAACAGCATAAGTATAAATAGACCCCTTAGACTTCAGAATTCAGCTACCCCTTCTCCTAAGAGTACTAGAGCCGATTTCAATATCCTCTAACCTCTCTCCAAGATCATCCTCTTGCCTGTGGTGTTTGTAAGCCATTAAGGAGTGACATTTGTGCCTCTAAGCTCCTAGGACAAGAAGATGCAAGCTTTCAACAAG